GTACCTTGAATAGATTACTACCTTGAATGGATTGGTACCTTGATTGGATTAGATTTCCTGCTTCTCTGACTCCTCCTTTTACGCTGTGTAGGGCAGGATCTGAGCCCAATCTCCACTCCGAGACCACCCCTTTCTCAATTTCCTCATAAAGACCAAGTCCAACCCCCAGTTAGGTCAGCAATTTTGAGTGTTAACTCCTCCATGCCCGCTGGTGTAATACACAGTTCTCCTAATCTCTCCAGGAGCTGCTTTCCATTCCTCAGCATCTGGTTCTCTGCAACAACATGAAGTTTCCATGAGAAGATGGCCAGCTTTGAGGAAGCCACCGCTCGTCAAGACAGGGACTCTGCCCAGTGCATTGATCTTGGATTTCAAGACTGAAAAATAAATTTGTTTCTTAGCCACCCAGTTTATGGTAGTTTGTTATAGCAACAGAAATGGACTAGACATTAGGAAGTTGAAGGGGAGGGCATTTCAAGAGAAGGGAAAGCAAGTGCAGAGGAATGGAGGTATAAAGAGGTGTGTTTAGGGATCAGTGGGTATGGCCAGAGTGTTGGTGCCCTGCAGGGAGGACCATGAGGCAAACATGAACCTTCGGTAGCAGCAGCCAGTCAGCTAGGAGTGCCATGCTGCAAGGAGGCCGCCTTTGTTCTGTAAGCTCTACTTGCTCAGTGGAAAACCTTGCAAGCCTTAAGGAAGGGAGTATCATGATCAAATTTTCATCTCAGGAAGTTAGAAAACCTTTGCAAAGTTACCAGTGAGCAGAAACAAATTAATTCTAGGCCATGTTATATCAAAATCAAAAGCAACTTGGAATGCAAAGGAATTTTCATAAATACTGCACATGTACATGTTTGAACATTATTTATTTAATTTTTTTATTATCGTCATCATCATTATTATTATTTAATTTGACCAGAGAGAGAGAAGGAAAGAAAGAAAGCAAGTCACCAGGTCGGCCATGTAGAAATTCAACAACTTATCTACCGTGCCACCTGCCAGCCCCTGGGGCATTTTTTGTTTGTTTTTTTTTGAGAGGTTTTTGTTATAGGGCACATGCGCTCACCAGAAAGACAGAGAGAGACAGACAGAAAGCGAGAAATAAGCCCCTGGGAAGATGGCCATGCCACAATCCTTCTCCTCCATTCTTGGACACGCCTTCATACTCGCCCGGTGTGAGTTTAACCCACCGGGCCCAGGACTTGAACTACGGTTGACTACATGGGAGTCTAGCAACATAGCCATTATGCCAAATGCTGTAACCACCCCTGGGACATTTTTTCTTAATTTTAAAATTTATTATCATTATTCTTCAGTTTTGACCAGACAGAGACAGAGAAAAGAAGAATGAGAAAGCAAGTCACCAGGTCTGGGACTCTAACTACGGTTGGCAACATGGAAATCCAGCATCTCAACCACCGTGCCACCTGCTGGCCCCTGGGGCATTATTTTTAATCAAACAATGGGGTGAAAACCTTTGAAGAATGAATGATTTTCTCATCTATGAAGTCCGGGATTTGTATGATTCAGGACCTTGAAGAAGAAATCCTGAGAAACCAGGCTCAAGTAGTCTATTGCCAGCCCCAAATCCAGCGCCATCTTCAAATACAGAGGTGTTGACATGCAAGTCAGAAATAGAGTCCATGATGACAAGTTACAGCGGTCAGCCAATTTTCAGGATTATGTCTGTATCGACCTTTATCCCTGTTAGCTGACTGGTCAATGGTTAATGTCTTTACTGTGAGCATTAATAGTTTATGAAGGTATGCTTCCTTTATTCCATTCACCACCTAGTCTTGAGAGCACAGGAGTAAACACAAGGGGTATCAGTGAAGACAATTCAGCTGCCAAAAAAAAAGATTCAAACTGGCCTAACAACAGAGGAAAGTCCTGCCAGGACTCGCTCAGCAGAACACGTTTTTCTGAGTGGGGAAGGCTATGGATTAGAAATAGATGCAATAACAGGGACCAGCAGAATGGCATAGTGCTTACATCGCTGGACTCCCACATAACTGACCACTGTTTGAGCCCAGACCCGGTGGCTTAAACTCATGCCGGGCGTGTGTGCATGTGTGCCCAAGATCCTGAGAGGAGAATGGAGGAGAAGGGATTGCAGCGTGGCCATCCCCCCTGGGGGGTGATTTCTCACTTTCTGTCTCTCTGTCTCTGTCTTTCTGGTGAGCGCATGTGCCGTATAGCAAGCCCCCCCCCCAAAAAAAAAAAAAAAAAAAAAAAGAGTAACCCTGAGGCCAGTTCTGGTCACTACTTCTCCATCAGTGAAGCCGTGCCCACCCGATCCTTGCTTTTCTATACTCGTGTGTCTTTGTGTATTTGTTATTGTGTCTATTTCCTTTTCTTTTTGGAGAGATTTTCGCTATAGGGCACATGCGTTCGCCAGAAAGACAGAGACAGAGAGACAGAAAGCGAGAAATCACCCCCCGGGGGGGGATGGCCACATTGCAATCCCTTCTTCTCCATTCTCCTCTTGGGATCTTGGGCACGCACGCACATGTGCCCAACATGAGTTTAAGCCACCGGGTCTGGGACTCGAACCACAGTCGGCTACATGGGAATTGAGCGACATAGCCATTAGGCCAACTGCTGGTCGCATCAGGTTTATTCTTTTAAGGGCAGAAAATGGGGAAAGTGGAAATGAGATGCAAAGAGAATAGGAGAGAAGGAAATGGCATGCAAAACCAGTTGTTTTGGGATGTTAATTGTCTGAAGATGTGAAAATGACTGGCACCATAGAATTTCTCTGAGCTTTTGGGTGGACAATTTGATAAACACGTGTGACTTCCTTTAGCCAGATACTGGCAATACTGGGGGGTATTGGGTATCAACAACAGGAAGATAACCTTGAAGCAGGCAGACTGCGTTCCTATGTAGATACTTCTCAGTAGCTCTGCTGGAGCAGCTTAGGGAAGTGCATTTCTGTATTCATCTTAAGGTCACGTTTTCTCAAATTGCTGCTCTCCACAAAGTCCGAAGGCTTCAGATATGAGTCAAGCAAGGTTCCAGCTCCATCTCTGGGATTCTCTCAGATGTGTCTTCCTTTATGTGTCAATTTTGTCCTTAATAATATTAAAGCAATCCAAGGCCACGCATCCCTAAACTCTTCAGAAAAAGAGTTTCTCTTCTGAGCCTCCTACCAAAGTTCAGTTGCATCCACTATGTCATGTGCCCACATGTTTTATTTATTTTTAAATTTTTAAAAAATTTTTGACAGAGGGCACATGTGTTCACTGGAGAGAGAGAGAGAGAGGAAGAAGAAGAAGAAGGAAACTGAGAGAGAAGAAAAGTGATTCCCATGGGGAATGGTCATGATGCAATTCTTTTTCCTCCATCTCTTCCTCCTTTCTGGATTTTGGGTATGCTCACATTCACGCCTAGCATGTTTTTCAAGCCACTGGGCCCAGGACTCAAACCATGTAGTCAGTCATGAGGGCTCCGGCTGTCCTAACCACCATGCCACAGGCTGACCCATTTGTTCACTCTCAAGTCAATTCCAATGGCGAGGACGGATGGATTCCACTGGCTTAGGTCAACTGAGATTAACCCCTTGGATCTGAGAATGGGATCGGATTCACCTAAAATGCTCAGCTACTTCAAGGGAGAGGAGTTGGATGTGCAGGAAAAGCAGCTCCTCCAAATCTGTATGTGTTTTGTTTTTAATATGTCGGAAAGAATGTGTGCTTTCCTGAGCGAGACGGAGAGAGGGAGAAAGCACCTCCTCCCCAAGTGGAGCATGGCCACACCACAATCCCTTCTCCATTTCCCCATCCTGTGAGGATTTGGGGCCCACACACATGCCTTACATGCTTTCTAAGAAACTGGGGCCAGAATTCAAACTGTGCTGTCAATCATGGGAGATTCAGATCCCTTAACGACCAGACCACAGGGCAAGCATCTACTATGTGTGAAAACATGACCTGGGGTAGTCCAGCAGCCCCTAATGAGAACAGCAGGTGTCCATCAACAGTTTTCCATGTGCTGTGTTTAAAATGAGACTCGCCACTGTGTGCATCGTCAAAAGCCCAGACACACGAACAGATACCATCTACCAAAGACACTTTATTACATTATCTTTTATAACTGTCTAGAACGAGTAATAATAACAATTAATAAAAATAACGAAACAAAAGTAAGACATAAACAGACACTAGTAACATCGACAAGGCCCACATTGGATGTTCTTGCCCCCATTCTCAGGTGTGTGAATGTGTTGGGGGCCACGGCTAAACCGGAGGCCAGTGGGGTACCTCTGAAATCTGCACCACAGGCTGGACATCCGGACTCCCGCACACCAGCTCCCTCTCTCACCCTCTGCCAAACAGAACGTCTGCAGTTCCTGAAGCTCCTACTCTCGGGGTTTTGCTTTCACCCCTCTTCCTAGACTGACTCTCAGGAAGGACTTGAATGCGAGGAAGTGCCCAAATGTTTGTCGAGGAGAGGGGTTCAAGGTATCCATCCAAGATACCTCCTCCCTTGCTCCTCCTGGCCCAGCTTCCTTTCCCTCTCCTCCTTCTGCCCTCAGTGGGGTCTTTTCTCCCCGCCCCTCCCTCCTGCTAGCATTTCAGAAACTCCGAATACCCCATGGCGAACATTTCTAGTACAGCCCTGATTAACATTGAGAAGGTTCTGGATTTTCAGGCAGTCTTTCTGAAACATGGGAGACATGTTTGTTTCTGCCTCTTTCTTATCTTCTTGGGATGAGGCCAGGCAAGTTCCCGGCAGTTCAAGGCTAGCCCAAAACCATATGTCAGAGGAGTAGAAAGCAGGTATCCCAGTGTAACTTGTTGGAGAGGGAACCTTAGGACCTCAAAAGATGGCACCTCTTCCCACCTCCTGGGACCTCCACAGCAGGGAAGTCCTCTATACTGGAAATTGTTATTGTGGCACTACCAGGAAAAAAAATCCCTAACCATTGCCTAAGGTCTTTCTGCTGACTGCAATCCACTATTTTACAGGTGCTAGTAGCCTCTATGTGTATTTCGTTTTATATTTATTCAGCAATCAGGCAAGCAGTATTCATTGCAAACATTCTCAGCTTCCATTCAAGTGAGGCTGGTGGATATCAGGCGAGGAGCACTGGAGCCAGATCTTCGCTGATGCTCATTTTTCCATCAGCCTTTGAAACTCTCCAAGTAATAGTTTGAACATTAGGTTGAGGGCCATAGAGGATTCCAAAGTTTATTATTCTAGAAAGAGAGAGAGAGAGAGAGAAAGAGAGAGAGAGAGAAGACTCTTAGAAATGAAGTACTCCAACAGAAACATAAAATTTAGACTCAAATTTTAAACATTAATTCATATTATTTGCCTTCAGCTTTCTCTTCTATTTTGCCTTTTTTTCTAATCATTTCTCTCCTTGTTTCTCTTCCATTCACTGTCTCTTTCCGTGGCCCCCTTCTCTTCTTCTTTCACCATCTTCCCTTCTTTCCATCTTGTTATTCTCGCAATTGTCACTCTAGCTGGCTTCCTCTTTTCAACATTTTATTCCAAACACACAAAACAGTGCCAATTATAACTATTTACCTGGTACAAATCTAATGAATATAAGCTATTCTCCTCGGAAGTTCTCCCAAGGGAAATAAAATATTACCAGTCTCAGGGGCCAGCAGGTGGCATGGTGGTTAAGGCACTGGACACCCACATGGGCCAACAGGGGTTCAAGCTCTTGCCCTGGTGGCTTGCTTTCTCACTTTCCCTCTCTCTCTGGTCAAATTAAATAATAATAATAATATTATTAAATAAAATAATTCTTTAGAATTATTATAGCCTAACTTGCCTTATGTCTTTGGAAATGGATGAGCTTGCCTTGAGGTCTGGGGAGGCAAGGAGAGTTGCCCTGACCTGTCCTGGCTGGAAAGGGCCTGACAGATGACAGAACAGATTTACTTTCTGCATCCTTCCCAGGACCTGAGTAAGACCTAGGTTTTTTGTTTTTGTTTTTTTTTGTTCTGTTTTGTTTTGTTTTGTTTTGTTTTTAAATGTTTTTGTCTTAGAGTACATGTGCTCACTGAGAGAGACAGTGAGAGGGAAGTGAGAAATTACTCCCCAGGGGGATGGCCATGCTGCAATTCCTTCTCCTTTCTGGATGTTGGGCACATATGCATATGCTTCAGGCATGGTTTTCAAGCTGCTGGATTTGGAACTCAAATCACATTGACCATGTAGTAGAGTTCAGGCCCTTAATTATCATGCCACCTGCTGGCCCGAAGAACTAGGTTCTTTTTTTTTTTCAGACAGAGAGAGATTTTTGCTATAGTGTACGTGCATTCACAAGAGAGACAGAAAGCGAGAAATCGCCTCCCCGCCCCCGGGAGGGATGGCCAAGCTGCAATCCCTTCTCCTTCATTCTCCTCTTGGAATGTTTGGCATGCACACACATGTGCCCGGCATGAGTGTTAAGCTACGGGGTCTGGGATTCAACCACAGTTGACTACATGGAAGTCCAGCAACATAACCATTATGCCATTTGCTGACCCCGGGCCCTAGGTTCTTAACCAGCCTGAGAATCATCATAAAAGTCCTATCAGTGGAAGTCGATCATTGGAATGGACCTGAAGGGCAGCTAAATTAAGCTGCTCTTTTTACCAATGAAAAATAGAAGGCCAGAGAAATTAAGCAACAGTCTAAAATCACACAGATAGTCAATGTTGGGGACGAAATGGTGGTAATAGCAGGGAGCTTCTACCTAGATCTTTCTAAAAAATAATAATAATAATAATAAAGGCATCCATAGATTGGTGAAGATACAACCACTTGGCAATTCTGTCCACCCAAGAACCTTTCTGGGTGTACTTCCTTTCTTTCCTTTCCTTTCTTTCTATTAAACCTTTTCTATCTACTTCATTCGTGGTTGCAGTTTCATTTTGTGCCTAGGGACAGATCTCTAATTTTAGTGATCTGGACCCAAAGAACCAAGGACTTCACAACGCAGCTCAACACTTACCCATCCATTAACATAATGGGCATTTCCCTCTAAAAAGCCAAACAGAGAGCCCCCTGTCTCACCTAATAGTCAGGGCGAGGCATATGGCTTTGGCTTGCATAGGGATTCTTTGTATAAGGATTCTGGGGCTCACTGTCTTTGGAGGCTGCAATCCTGATTTTGGGGAAGATGGTTCCTGTTCCTAGATTGCTGAAGCCTGTCTGCTCCAGTCTGATATCCTGAAAGTCGTTCTCAATCAAGTTCTGTTCTTCAATATTCTTCTTTTTGTTCTTTGATCTGTAATCAGTAACAGGAATTAGGACCTGGTAATGGCAGAAAGTCCCTTGAAGTGAATGTTAATGTTCTATTTTAAGATGTTTATAAATTTTGAAATCATTTTAAATTTACATTAGCGATGATATCTATATCTAGATATAAAATTTATACATATATATATTACATAGTGTTCCTATTAACCTATTACCCAATTTCTTCATTTTTTACACTTCTGAACTAAAAAAAGAGTAAGATGCAGACTTGATACCCTATTACGCTTAATACTTTATTATTTTATTTTATTCAGTGTAGAAAGTCTAAGTTTAAGGACAGTCTCCTTATAAGCTCTAGGTAACTGCAGAACCAAGATATTAACTCTGATCCAACATTATTATCTAATTCCACTGACCTCATACAAATTTTGCTAATAATGTTAGTATCTTAAAGAGTGCTTTAAAATTTATGGAAAGAACAGACATCAAAGAGAAAAGATGACTTGTGATACAATTTTTCATTTTGAGCAAAGTCAGTGTTCACGGAAATGCCTCAGCCAGCTAAATGAGTTCGAGGTATAAGGATCTTGAACGAAGAAATCTGAGATGTCTGAGGTTTGCTGTGGCCCTTCAATGATCTCAAGTGTAAATATTCAAAGCCAAGTGGAAGTACTTGCAGGGACTTGCCAGTATTTGGCAGCATCTCCCCTCAGATGCTGGTTCCTGGTTCACAGCCCTCCATGGCTCTGTTCTTGCAGTGCTCTGGACCATGGAGTGGGGAGTTAGGCCAGCGACATTCGTCATGCCCACAGGGGCACACCCGAGGTAACAGTTACATTGGGAATGTCACTTGCCTTGTGACCCCGATGACCAGCCCAGCCCACAACAGTCCCTGCCCTTTGACAACTCTTGTCCAAGGTGGTTAAGAAGAGGCTTCATTGCCCTTTGAAATAGGCAAGAAAATTATAATTCTTTTTGTGTTCCTGAAAATCCTGAACCTGTCATCGGGCCTAGAGCAAACCTGATTCTGCAGCAGGATGGAGAAACAGAGACGCTGTCATGAGACCCCAAGGTTCTAGAACAACTCTTGGGAACCTGAGTATAGTCAACCAGTCCTCTCAAGAAAAGAGAAAACAGCCTTGCTCCAGCATCAAGAACTTTCTGCCTCTGCCCCTGAAAAAGGGCAAGTCAGGGATGATCCGCTGATATTCCCAGTTCTTGACTTTGCTTCCTTACAGCAAAGTCTTCGGGAATTAATTTCCAAATGGAATAAAAGGGGGAAAAAAGCAACAAAATATTTTAGGAATCTAGAAATATGATGATCCTTTCACATTATAGATGGAAAACACCTATTTTGCCAAAATATAATGTAGATGCTAAATGTTAGGGGGAAAAGTCGCTTGTTTTTATTCAAGTGGGTTTCCACTCGGCACATTTAGAATGGAAAAGAGATCACATCATTCTCTTCCCTGTTAACAGGGAAAACTTCAACATACCTAAATATTTGTTGAATAAATGAATACACCTTGTCCATCAACCCTCTAAAGAGAAAAGAACTGAAGGAACCAAATAGAAATAGTCATGCAGAGACAGCATTTCTACTTTTTGTTTTTTTAACCCAAGAGACTCAGTTGAGGTTGATTTTAGGTTGGCCCCATTTGCAGAAAGGGCCTGGGCACAGGATGACCTTGTGAAAATTATAATCAACAGGAACAATGGAGTAAAGTCCTGTTAACAAAGACTTCCAATGATATGTGAAAATGGTTGCTGTCATTTCAGTGTTAATTGAAAATAAACCTCAAAAAAATTGTTTTTAATTACAAAGGATACAAAAGTATGTACATAATCCCATTTGAAAGGAAAGAGAAAAGTCCAGAAAGATGTAAGCCAATATGTCAGTGGGTGATTGGTTTTGTGACAGATTGTTTTTTCTCCTCTCCATGCTTCTTTATTTTCTAGATTTTCTTCTATGATCATGTATAACTTAAATAACCAGGAGAAAATTAAGGTAAGAAAAAAGTCAGCATTATTAAAGAGGCATTCCCATTTCCCTTCTCTTGTCTGAGCGGCGAAGTGTGTTTGGAAACGACAGCATCATGCTGGTAGCACTCTACTCCCGGGAAGGGACACCCTGACCCCATACCTGGCTGAGAAGATCAGGGCAATCAGCAGGCTGATGATGATGATGCCGGTGATGGTGCCCACGATGGTGAGGATCAGCTCGAATGCTGCAGGGAAGAGAGAAGAGCTGACCCCAACTGTCTACTGCACAGCTGTGCATGCCCAGTGACTCTTAGTAAATAGGACAACCAGAATCTGGTCTCCAACCCCACCAGGGCCAAACTGGGTTAGGCAGATCATCTCCTTTAGCACTCCCTTCTTCCTACCCACCACATTATGTCTTCAGAACTCTGCCAGAAGACACAGCCTTGGAGGATAATAGAAGGTCATAAATATGAAGGAGGCTGAGGGTGGTGGGGTCCTCCCTGGCTTTCTGGGGAGGAGGACCTCAACCCAGGTCCATGCCTCTCTCCTTACTGCTGCTATCTTAGGCTGCCCTCCATCTTCACATAACTGATAAGCTGAGGGAACCAGGTCAGAGTTATGTTGTAATAGCGGAGTCAGGTGATGGCTTGAAAGCATCAATGACGGAAAAGCCTGGAAGTTTGTTAGCACCCAATCCCCTCCTGTAGCTCTGTTCAAGTACTTCCGACACTTGACATGTGGCTATGAGACGGCCTGTAAGCCTAACACATATCAGATGCCACTTGGTATAGAAGAAAAAGTGAAATAATGTTAATTCTCACATTGGTTACGTGTTGGAATGGAAATATTTTGGATATGTTGGGTCAAATAAAATCAAGTCACTTATTTCTTCTTATTTAAAAAATTGTACTTAGGCACTGGCAGGTGGCATGGTGGTTAAGGCGCCAGATTCCCATATGGCTGGCCACGGTTCAAGTCCCAGATCTGGCAGCTTGCTTTCCTACGCTCCCTCTCTCTCTTTTTCTGTCTCTCTCTGGTCAAATCAAATAATAATAATAAACAAAAATATATAATAAATATAATAAATACTTCTTTTTAAAAACTTAAAGATTTTAAAATTCAGTGCGGCTCACACTGTGTTTCCATTGGACAGTGCCACTCTCTGATGGCCACAAACACCACTCCACCCCAGATTCATGGGACTGTAGACAGGGGAGTGTGGGGAAGACCTCACAGGTCATCTCATCTCGTCTCAAACTCTCATTTTGTGAAACTGAAAAGCTCAGAAGAAAAAAAATGACAGGAAATCTATCCCTGCAACAAAATACCATAATTATCGAGAACATTTCTCATCACAGTGTTTGTGGCTGGCAGGCTGACAGCAATATTTCCTTCAACTTGGATCATTGATCTTTAGTTCATTATGTAAAATTTAAAATATAAAATTAGTATCGTCTCAGGACCAGGAGATGGCATAATGATTACATCGCTGGACTCCTACGTTGTCAACTGTGGTTCAAGTCCTGGACCCCATAGCTTAAAACTCATGCTGCATGCTTGTGTGTGTGTGCCCAAAATCCCGAGGAAAATGGCAGAGAAGGGATTGTGGTGTGACCATCCCCCTGGGTGTGTTGGAGGGTGATTTCTCGCTTTCTGTTTCTCCCTGTCTCTGGCGAGCACACACGCCCTATAGCAGAAATATCTCTCTCTCACACACAAGTTCGTATTGTCTCAGCATGGTGAAGGTGAGAGTGGGAATGAATGAAGCTACTCGATTTGCAGCAACACATCCCAAACCAGCAGATAGCTCAGAGATGAAAAGCTTGGAGTATTTAAATGTCTGATTTCCATTCTACTTCCCCACAACCACCACCATCTCAGGATCGATAGTCTTTTTTCCTTCCTAGTAGCGGGACGTGCACATTTAAGCTAAGGTAGAAAGTCGGCGCGGTGTCAGGACGCCTCTCTTTGACCTAGAACAAGTCCGGGGCACTGAGCGCTGCTGTTCCCTGTAGCACAGGCACTGCCTCTATGACCCAAGAGGCATGCCGTAAGCAGATGTTCTCTCTCTTTATAAAGGAAGTCAGGGACTTTGGGTAGAGGACAGGATTTTGAAGATGGTCAGTGATTATTTGTCAGATGTTTAATAACTTGTTTATAGCAAGACGTTTAATACTCACAGTCTTTACAGTCAACTCCACTGTAGCCAAAAGGACACCTAAATACAGTAACAGGAAATCATGTTAAAGTTCCCTGAGGAGAAGCATGTCAGAGTTCCACCCATCTCCATTTCTTCCTTCCCATCCTCTCCTGTTCCTTCTCCTCTTTCTCATCTCCCTCACGCTCCTGTTCATCCTGGATAGCACCCTCCACTGGGGCTCTGGAAGGTTGGGAATGCAATCCCACGTGGTCTCATTTGCTGCTGACCGGACTCTCCATCCTGTGAGCTCTAGGTAGATTCAGCAATTCGGGTGAAGCTGAAACCGAGGGGAAGCATAAGAGGACCTTCTCAGGCGGCGACACCACATGGCTCTGCCACTCACTCACTGTCCTGGGAGCTGGGGCGCATTATTTACATGCGGTTTCAGAACCCATTGAGAGATGTTGGTTGGGGGCACGGCATGTGAAAGCAATCTTTTAAGAATGCTTGTCTATGGGAGCAGCAGTTAGCGTAATGTCTATGTTGCTGGACTCCCACGTAGTCAACCGTGGTTCGAGTCCTGGACCCGGTGGCTTAAACTCACGCCGGGCGCGTGTGCGTGTGTGCCCAAGATCCCGAGAGGAGAATGGAGGAGAAGGGATTGCGGCATGGCCACCCCCCCCGGGGGGGGATTTCCTACTTTCTGTCTCTCTCTGTCTGTCTGGCGAGCGCATGGGCCCTATAGCAAAAACCTCTCAAAAAAAAAAGAGAATGCTTGTCTAGAAGTGAGTTGGAAGACATTAGAAGTTGAAAGGTGAACATGAGAATGGTGGAGGGCAGAGAAGAGAAGAGGTAGAGAGCCAGCCCTGTGGCCCGGTGGTTAAGGGAACTGGATCCCCCTTGAAAATGAGGAACTGATACATTCCTACCAGTGTTACTGTGGGACAGGTATTTCCTAGAGTGGTTCCTGGCACACAGTGATGCTCAGAAACTACTTGTGATGATGGCGATGCTCTATACCTCCCAGCCTATACCAGCTTACCAACATCCTGACTCTAAATATATCTATACAGACACGTGTATGTATATATAATGCAAATAGTCCTTTCTGCCTTGCTACACTGTGGCAGGATAAAAAAGCAATCATTTCTCTTACTTTTCACAGGTCTCGTTATTCTTCCTGAAGCCAGACAGGCACACGCAGTCCAGGGCTTGGCCGTCCTTGTCCATCAAACACTGCATATTGTTCTTCGCGTTGCAGTTCTCAGGGCACTTCTGACTCACAGCTTCAAAACAAAGTGATTTAGGGTCACTTTCAGAAGCAACCTCTTCAACCCCAGGGTGACATGTGACAACATACAGTTTCTCACATTGATTTTTCTAGGTAAAACGAGGTGCTCATTGGCTCCACACGTGACACGCCCCTGCGAAGCCACCCCTGAGCTGCCTCATCAGCTCCTAGCTAAGGTCCCAGTCCTGGTCCCTAGGTCTACACCCAAAATTCACATCATTCAGACACTGTAAATGCATATGGAAACGTGAGCAGCAAAGTTTGTATTCTGTGCATGCAAAAGGAGAGGAGGTAAGAGTTAAGAAGGACATTCAGAAGCAGGCAGAACACTTACGAAGACAAAAAGAGACCTGAGGGTTAGGTCTCTCCAGCCCAATTTTGCAATCACAAAGGAGGCCGTCGGCACATTCACCTCCTGTTCTGTTACAACCATAGTAGTCACAGCGATTTTGACCTAAGTGAGAAGCACAAATAATTAAAAACTATATTTAGCAAGGCAATATGGATAAAGCAATTTGTAAAATCACCCCACTCCATTGTTGTATTACTTTGTCTTTTAAATAAGTTTTGTTATACTTTGCCTTTTAATACATTTTGATAAGATAGGTAATACCTGTCCCACAGTAACACCGTCAGGAATGTATTAATTTAATAAATCCTGGGATTCTGAAACCCACCCTCTCTTCAATGACTATTTCCATTTATTATTAATTCAATCCAATTTAGTGCAATTATGTGCAGGTTCAAAATCTACTGTGCTACAGTAGCCATATAACATTTGGGGCTCGCATCTGTAGGGCTACGAGTTTGAACCCGTAGAGTCGCAGCAAACAAAATTCAGTGGTAGGTCATGTGATCCAGACTTTGCTCAAGTAGCTAAAGAAGATACCATGGAGGAAGAGCTAAGTCTCGAAAGACAGGGAAGATCTGAATACTCAAAGGACAGGTGACGTTTGTCCAAAACTGTATTTTGTTCAAGTGAATTACAAATGGTATGAAAAAAGCAAAGAATCTTTGTTAAGGAGCTGTGGGGGCTGTGCTTGGGTAGGGGAGAGGCAGAACAATGAGGTAGAAGAAAATTGAGAATTCTTGGCTTTGCCATTATGGGCTGTGGACTCTGTTCAATTATTTGATATTTGGTGTGTCCAGACTCTATTCATTTATAAGATGGGGCTAAACACTCTGGTTTCACATGGCTGTTGTGAGAATTGAGTGAGCTAATGTAAATGACAGTGCCCACTACAGAAGCCTCAACAAATAACTCATTCTTTGGCTCTATTCATAGGTATGGTAGGGTTTGAATGTTTGACTAAGGATGCTAGATTTTGCCCGATAAGCTGGAAAATCCATTGGTAGGTTTTACATGCAGGGTAATGGCACGAGAAAGCAATCTTTTAAGAATGTTAGTCCAGAAGTGAAGTGGACTGCAAGTGTTAGAAGTGGAATGATGAATCTGAGAATGGTTTAGGAAGAGAGAATAGAAGCAGGCAGAGGGCCAGTTCTGTAGCTGGGTCTTACTGGTTTACTGTGGTTCAAATCCCAGCCCCAGTGCTTAAAAAAATATATGCTGGGATGTGCACATGGGTGCCCAAAAGCCCAACAGGAAGGAAAAATAGAGAAGGAATTTCAGCATGACCACATCCCATTGGGGAGCGCTTCTCTCTCCCTCCCTCTGGTGAGTTCATGTGCTCTCTGGCAACAACAACAACAACAACAACGACAAAGAAAAAGAAAAAAGAAAAGAAAAAGGAAAAACGAAGCAGGTAGAACAATTTTATGGTTACTCTACCAAGCATCCCAAACAGTAACTAACCTTCCTTCAACATTTTTTTTTTTTTAAGATTGGTTTTTGCTAAAGGGCATGTGTGCTCAGTTCCCGGCTTGAGTTTAAGCCACCGGGCTTGGGATGCGAACTGCAGTCGACTACATGGGAGTCCAGTGACATAGCCATTATGCCAACTGCTGGTCCCGAGATTTTACAACTTTTGACACAGATGAGAAGAATATGTCTGTGCTGCCTAAGCTGGAGAGCAGGAAAAGGTGTTTTCTCTACGAGTTATGGTGCTCTCACCTCCATTTGCTGGTCAGCTCAAGTGCTTGTGGCTGTCTGTAGATGGTACCACTTGGCATTTTGCTGATGTATCTAAGAGTGCATGCCTGGTCTCAGAGAGTTGGAGGGAGAAGTTTGGAGGGATTGTCTAACATAACGTTTTCAGAGCTAGGGGCCAAAGACTTTCAAGTATGCTTATAGTTCAGGCAATTATTGAAGGGAGCCAAAACAAGAGAATTGCATAGGGGACCCCAATTTTATCTTGTAGAACACGCTGTTTATTTTCAGCTGACCCCAAAAAGTGGGAAGCACCCATGCTGATGGGGACCCTCCATCTCCTCACCCTGGCTAGAAGTCTCACCTAGCAAAAGCAGAGTGTATGGTAAGGTCCTGGGGTAGAGGTTCTGACTGCCCAGATTGGCTCTTGACCAAATTCTGACCCCTAAGAGAAAGTGACCGGCAGGTAGAAGTGATGGGCCCTTTACGAGACAGGGACCAAATGAGAACAAGAGAGGCGAGTAACCACAGGTGTAGACATGTGCACATTGTAGACTCTGAGAGAGTAAATACTGAAATGTTCAGAAGGAGAAGGCATAATTCCACAGGATGAAACTAGAAAAAGGAAAGTAGTGGGTCATCAGAAAAGTCATGACAATAATTCAAGAAGGTGAGAAGCTCTGAAATATAATTCTAACTGTGCGGCTGTAAAAATGAGGAGTTGCCCCGTGTGTTGGGAGCTCGACCCCACATGGCTAACTGTATTTTGAATCTTGGTGCCTGTAGCTTGAGAGACGACACTGGGTGTGTGTTTGTGCATGCCCAAGATCCTGATAGGAGGGAGAAATGGAAGAAAAAGGGTTGCATCATGGCTACACCTCATGGAGGGGCTCTTTCTCTCTATATAGCATCATGTTTTACTGCTGGATCACCATCCAGGCCCCAAGGGATTTGTGGTGATTGCTGATCAATTTACTCATGCCTTTCCGTAGCCATGTCCTCCCACACCATTCTTGGTCATGTGAACTGACCCTCAGAATTATGGGGCTGCAGTAAATACATGGTGGTTGTTTTAGGCCACTAAGTTTTGAAGTCGTTTATAACGTAGCAGACATGGATTGTTACAAGCACACTGCGTGTCAGCCTAAAAGAGAAACACCGTATGTCAAATTTTCTATACTTGAAAAGCTACAGCTTGGGAAAAGCCCTCTTGTTTCTCCTTTTTTCATCTTTCCTTGTGTGGAGACAGTTTGGTCATTTATACCTTCCAAGAGTGGAACCAACCGGTCAGTTTAATGACTTGAGAAATGGTTGGAAAGGAGGAGAAGGCAAGTGAGAGAGGAGAAGGAGGAAGATGAGATTTTCAGTTATGCAGTTGTCCTTTCTTACATATAATGAAAACGTTTACAGAAGGTATGCAAGTCTTTAGGTACACTTGAAATACATGATTTAATACTTACTGGTAAAACCTTTAATCGTTGCACCACCTTTATCAATTGCATCCGTAATAGTCTTTTTCACAGACTCTTCAGTTTTACTTGTATTTTGTGCAAAAATGTTTACTACTGATACATTTCCTTGCAGGTCAGCACGTATATCTGATCTTCCCAACCGAGAAGGAAATACGCTAAAAATGAAATGAATCCTTCATTTGATAAATTGAACAAAGGGTCAACAAATAGGTTTCCTAGCCTCTCAGAATCCCAAATCTTCCAGCTCTAGTCCGGAACCACTGCTCTGTCTCTACAATCGGGGCCCAAATATGGAGATTTGGGGTTACAACAAGATGGCAAGACCCAGAGATCTCTCTTCAGTGTATATTTGGAGGAAATCGATGATGGAAACAATGTCTTTCTGAAGGATTTGTGGGTAATCATTTTGGGGGAAATTATGGGCAATCACTTCTAGTGGAGTTGGAGCTAACTGGAAGTAGGAGAAGTCACATTTGGAATAGTTGAGATCTAGGCCCAAGCCTGCGCTGTCTTTTGTAGTCCAAGCTCAGTCGTAGCGTCTCTATGTATAAGCTTCCTCCTCTGTCCAGTGAGTCCAATTAGTACTTTGGGAAAGAGAAATTCTTGGGATCCCTCTAAGCCCAACATTGGTACAGTAGGTAGAGAGCTTAGGGATTCCGATATAAGAGTGGGCTGGAGCCCAAGAAATGCCTTCCTAGATGAGACCCAGGTCCATTAATTCTGTAATAACCCCAAGATAGAGGACGTAGTTCCCCTCCATGACTTTGACCTCACAGGTAAAGGCTTGCCTCCCGAGACCCTTGATTCCTTTCAGTAACTCTGCAAAAAGAAAAGGAGTGCTACAGTTTTGGGGAACCCTCCTCAAAGGTCCAGCAAGTAGACCTTGCTGGACTACTCCCCATCATACTTCAGGGTCCCACACTGTGCAAAGGAAACAAATTAGTGTTGCAACTGACTACGTGTCAACACTGTAGGGGGGTACTTTGCAAAAGTCATCTCAGTCACTCCTCACAAAGGTCCAGGGAAGTCGATCAGATTATACCAATTACATGGGGGTGGGTAACAAAGCTTCATGGAGGTTAAAACACCTGCCCACAGCAAGGATGTGCTCTGGTCTGGGATGAAGCACAGGCACACAGGCTGGGCTGTCTCCGCCACCTCTCACTGTTCTGGTTTTTATCCAGTCGTCTCCTGCATATAAGCTGACTGTTCTCCACTAATCCTGACACCCTGAAACAGCTCATAGCTGTCCAGCAGCTGTCCCACTGTAATCCTGCAGCTTCAGAGCCTCGACCTCGGGGCCCAGCCTCTGCATGTGAGCACTGGGGTACCTCTTGGCTGCCAGTTAGATTCGCCTCTCATTCAAGGCCAAATTCAAGGAGGCCTCCTCAGAAATGGTTAACATCTGTACACTTTATCTTACTCTACAGAGAAATGGACATAGCTTATAAGGATAAATACAGTACTACAACGTGAAACATAAATACCAATATCGGTAGTCTTCCCTTAGCCCGGGTGCCCGGGTATTAACGTGCTTCGGAGGAGGCTGAGTTGGAAATGCTAACCTCGTGAGAACCCTTGGCTTCTTTATGTCTCCGACTAGATCCAGCTCTCGTCACTACACGGGGAAGGGCTCAGTAAGTGCTTGTTCTTACTGTGGGAAGAGCTCACTACTCGCCCTTCAGTAGCCAGGTGTGTGATGTGGGTGTTCTCCTCCCCTTCGCTCCTTCCACATGAGGGAAGAGATGACCTGAGCCAGTCATGCCCCTCCTGCCCCCAGAATACACGTTATTGGGGTTCACCACGTGTGGCCTGAGGCCAAGAGATTAAGGCCAACAAACTGTCTGGACCATGTGTACAGGTGGTTGAGTGGCCAATCACAGACAGCACCTTGACTTCCCCAGGCCACACTCTCCCCATCCGGGCCACAGAGGGTGTGACGTCAGAGGCAGGCCACTCTCTGCAGTGGTCAGGCCGACCACCTCTTCTTGACTTGTGACTTGCCACTAAACAGCCTGAGTGTCACACAGGGGACGCAGGAGAAGACCAGAGGTTAGACAATCACACCCCTGCCTCCAAGGTACCACATGAGTCCACAGCAAACTTACCTTACTTTAAGAATTACAGTCTGTCCAAAATCAGATTGATTGAATACATCCCCAAACTGCAAAAGAGAACAGATTTAATAAGCTAAAACAATACATTTTTCATAGTGTTTTGGCAGAAATGCTAAACTTGTTTATATAAATATATGTGATTCATCACAGCAGCTACTCACTCTTGAGGTGTACTGTAGTGTCTCTTAGTAATCTGTGCTGTAAACTAGTAAGAGTCTGATAGCAGTCAGAGTTACCTAGGAAATTGATAGCGACCTAACACACTCAGCCAATTGCCATACTCTTAAAAGTAAGATGAGGGTCGGCAGGTGGCGTAGTGGTTAAGGGCATTGGATTCCCACATGGCTGACCACAGTTCAAGTCCTGGACCTGGTGGCTAGCTTTCTCTCTTTCC